CGGTCCTGTGGGAACAATGCTCCGTCCTCTCGAGGACGCGTGGTCAATGGTCTAACCGCTAAGGCATGCAAAACATAAGAGTACGCCCCCCCCCATCTGCTTTGCGGAATCGTATCCTTATGCATCATCAGAAAACATTATCAGAGGGGGTCCAACCCCCCCCTCCTGTGTGACCCCGGTTTGGTCGTCTAGCTAGTAGAAGTGGAGGATAGGGGCCAGAGGGGCAGTCGACAGAATCCAATGATGGGAGAAAAATATAAAACAAACGCCCGTGTTTTCCTTTGGTTGATGAATGGTGTGTTGTTGCTGTTGTTAATTACAGTCTCTTTTGATGTTGTCGGATGTTGTTGCTACTGTTGTGTCTTTACCGTAAGAGCCGTTTCGATCTCTGCTTTAAAGGCTCCAACGTGAGTACTGAAGCACAGGGAACCTGCTCCTTTTCTCTCTCTTTGTGCCACACAGGAAAAGGGTCTGGCGGCGCGTTGAACACGGCGGCCACAGACGTTTGGCTCAACTCCGGTCCCGGGCAGCGCCTAGACGGGGGAACAACCTCCAAGAGTTCGGGAAAAGACGGGCGGGATAGCGGCGGGGCGGGCATGACGTCCGCCGAAGACATGCAGCTCGCGATGGCGATCAGCGCTAGCATGGGCAGCGGCGGGGGTGCTGAGGCGGGGGGCGAGGGGCAGGATGAGATGGCCCTTGCCATGGCGTTGTCGCTATCGCAAGAGTCAGCGTCGTCATCGTCAGGTGAAAGGGGGGTCGTGGAGGTGTGGTAGATAAATATATATATATATATTTTCATGTCGTTTCATTTTCTTGTGGGTCTCTTGTCGCAGGCTGTTTGATCGAGGTGAATGTTTTCCTTTTCATCTGGGGCTGGTACCGCCACATGTTCTTCGCATGTGTGGTCAGACCCTTTGGGTTACGTCCCTACACACAGTCGCTGAGAGCTCTTGTTTCGCCTAAATGTACCGTGACCGTGCACATTTTCTCAACGTCAAGTTCTTCTCCTCTGTCTGCTTTTTCATCCACATCGAACGTAGAGCACGAATGTTCCTGTATTGGCTACTGCTGTACTCACCCTGCCTATTCTTTGTACAGAAAACTGAATGCTCCCGTCTGTTTCTGAATCCTTGACGTCTGCGTTTTTTATCTCCTGTCGTATTTTTGGTGTTAAAGAGACGTCATTACTTTTGGTGTTGTGGTCATTGACGTGCCGGTGGTGTATCGCGTGGAGGTAATTGGCATAAGTTTTATTCATGGTCCATGATGATTTTTTTTGCGAATGGGAGGTGCATGTTCGAGTCGAAGGCGCACATGTCGGACAACAACTGAAAACAAAATGAAGCTCGAGTTCTGGTCGCACGTTCGTTCTGAAGGCTGATACTGCCCTTGCTGATTAATCCACACCTTCTGCCGTCTCAGCCGAGACCATGTATCTTAAAAGGACACAGCTTGCCTTCCTACAACCAATGTGTGTCCATACGTGTGCGTGCTTTAGGGACGAAGAGAAAATAGAGGCACGGTAGGGTTTCCCTGTTCTCTGGTGTCACCCTGACGAGAGGGATCAGGTCGTGTCGAGTCCTGCGACTGATTTCTGCTGTCATCGCCGTCGCTGCTGTCACCAGGCTTATACAATCCACAACCGGTACCGGACCTCCAACCAAATGGCCCGGACGTAGTGCGAGTTCAGGTAGGTGGCTAAGAATGCGTGTTCCCTGCAAGACTCGCATGTTTCTCATTGGAACTGCTTAAAGAGTGGTTCGCCTTTTGCAGTGTAGCACTACCATGCCGCCTCTTGAGGAATTGGCAGCCACGAAATCGAGGTTCGAGGTTTAAAAATATTGAAGAAAATGTGCACGCAGGCAGGGCAGTTGTAATGTTTTGGTTCAAAGCCCCCTCGATGCAACCGTTTAATATACTCCTACTAGCTCACAAAACGGCGAAAGAAACCGAGGTTCTGGACAACGAAAAACATCCCTATGAATATTATTCCGATTACATGGCGGGAGCTAGCTGCGGTGTGCGGGTCACCGATGAAGAGTGTCTTGTACGAAGTACTTATTTTCGAGAGGGGTTCAGGAGGGGCATCTGCCATTCTTGGTAAAGTCTTTGTGCTACCGTGCAACGATTTCTCCGGTTGTTGACTATGCAAAAATAAACTTTCCACGTCGGTGTAACGCCGCCGCTGCGCGTTTTACCTCTCTGTTTTAGAAGATGCTAAATGTACGTTGAGCATGCGTTCCTCACATACACGAACACCGGTGTTGCAGGTGACACGAAGCACGAGCACACCATTCATAGCATGACCCCACTCCTAAATACCACCGTCGTCTCGTCGGCCCCCTCACCGCCGTGAAAACATAATTAATATCGAAGCTCCGAGTCGGGGGCAGCCAGAGAGTCGTCCATAGCTTCAGACGGTCCGATTCCATCACGGCGCTTTTTGACGTTGCGGCTCAAGCCCTCGCCAAGGCCGACGGTAAGGCGCTGTCTTCTCCCTTCGACGTGGTGGCGCCAGGAGGACGGGCGCTGCTCAAGGCCGGGGTAATTGTACCAGGGACCGATGGGGGCGATGCAGCAACAGCAGCAAAGCCGGCGGGGGCGGGTGGGGATGAGAGTGATGGCGGTGGCCCTACGATAGGGTCGGAACAGCTGGGCGGGGCGAGCGTGATCGTGCGCAGGGCTTAGTGTTAACGATAGGGTCGGAACAGCTGGGCGGGGCGAGCGTGATCGTGCGCAGGGCTTAGTGTTTCGGGTGTAGTTTTTTTGTTTGGCGTGGCTGTCACTGGGCAGTTCCGTCCATGTCTTTGCGGTGTCTCTGTGACACCGTCATCGCTGCATGATTGTTGACAGTCCTGGCATCAAGGGGGTCGAATCACGTGGGCGGATGGCGCAAGACGGCTAAATAAGGTAGGATCCATATCCATAGCGTGTGCAAGATGCTGTGGCATTGCTGCCGCTGGTCTTCAGGAACACCGGGATGGGAATGCTCGCGAATCATGGCGGACCATAGTTGCAGTTCCAGTTGAAGGTTAGCCTAGTTGTGATTTTGTTGCCGAGGGTACACCAGGTACAAACGCGCCTCCACCGAAAAGAAACTTTATTTTCGCAACCCTCGCTCCTTATCTGACTGATGGGGAAACCAAATGGGATTATACATTGGTTTTATTGTGGGTAGGGCTGAAATTCTTGTCGTGCGAGATAAGTGGAACTATAATTTTGGTTCTCGGGTAAAATGCCAAATACATCGGTGGTGAGACGTTCTGTAGCAACAGACTATGGCATGGCCGCTCTCTCGGCGGCAGTGGTGTTCCCATGTACGAATTCAAATGTTGATGTTGCGAGGAGGCTTTTTGGGCGTGATAGGTGTCCTCGCTTTATTTCATGCCATGAAAACAAAACAAGCGGAACGGTTTCTGTCGAATCTGCTCTGGCAAACATCCGAGGACAGGCTTCGGTATCGTGCTCCATCTGGAACACGCTTCTCTCCATTCTTGTTTGCTGCTGTTTTGGCGATTTCGACGTGTATTATCCGACGCTAGCGGCAGTATGTCCATGTCCAGAGACAGCAAAGGCCAAGCATTGTTTTGCTTCTGAGGACGATTGATTCCGCGAAGTGAGCTACAACGTGATTGGCGCGTTTTTACGCATCCTGTACTGCCCACTTTTCGTGCACCACATACAGTAGGGCGCAAGGCATGTCGAGAAAAGGACCAAAACGGAAAAACTTGTGACGAAAACACACCCAAGGGATAGGGCTAGGGTGTCAAGCTCCGCCATGTAGAGGGAACGCAGTTGGTGTCACGGGCGCGTTACTCTCTCCACAAGCCCAATTACGCAAAACGACAAAGACGGCATTCACCATGGCGGACTCTGGGCAGTGTGTCCTCAGGCCCCTTCTGCAACGTGGACGACTCGCTTGTCGGTTGCTTGTTCGGCCCAGAAGGCGAGAACGCGGGGTCTTCGTGTTAAACCTGGAGCAACATTCCTTCTTTGGATCGGCGCACTACTGTACCGCTCGGGACATCAAGACCCCCGGCACAAGTACGACTGAGGCTGCGTCCGACACTTTTCCCGGCAAAAAAACAAAAAACATGACACGTTCGGATCAAGCTGCGTTGTGTTGTAGACGGTAGAGATGAGACACTCGTAAATGAGCGAAATGATGGACAGTGCCTTTTGGGCTTCCATGGCAAAGAACCGAGTGTGTGGTATGTCTAGGCCTATCGAACGTAGGCCATTCGGTTACCCTTCAAAACTAGCTTCCATTCTATGGGACTCGTGGGTCATGGTAGCAGACACGAAAATCGGCGGGGGTCTGACTCTTGAATCCTCTCCCGTTCTCACTCACGCAATTCGGGGTGTAAACGACACCATGCTCGCATCAAATCATCGGTCGAACCAGCCATGTTTCCTACGAGCCAAATCGGCACATTCATTTTAATCCCTCTTGAGCCCTCCTTCCGTACGCGCTCTCCCACCGCCCCGAAACGGTAAAACCAACACCATCAACATCAAGAAAACCAACACCATAATCACCACTCTACATCTTCCTCCTCCTCCTCCAACACCAACAACACGGCACATTTTGTTGATACAACACCAAGTCACGATAACAAGCCTCTGTCGGCCGACGGGCGCAGTGCTTGAATTCTTCCACAAGAACGAGACGCTAGCCCAAAGCTACGCGCTGTCGAAAGCCGAAGTTGCTGTGTTTTGCTCGGCCAACCCCCAACCGCAACTCTCGGACGCGAGAATCATGGCCAACCCGAGCCAAAGAATCTCCAGCACGCCACTGAACCAAGTCGAACTCCACCATCTCAGAGACAAAGCAAGAGCCCGACAAAACCAAGCCGTTGAGGGAAAGCAGACATGCCCATCAGAAATAGCGTACGGTCAGCCTGAACGCCACGGATTGCCTCAAACCGAAGCTACGCTCTCCTCGCCGCATACCAAATCGCCAAGTCGCCGCCGTTGCGCCCTTCCGCCCGACCTCCGCAATGTACCAACGGTGTCACAAGATACCACCCCCCCTTCGCCGATTTTCGAAGCTCGATTCCTCCACGAAGAGGATGCCAAGCCGCACATGAGATCTCGACGAGACGGTTCCAACGCCATCATGTTGGGGGGCACCATCACTGCTGTTTTCGCTGCCGATGCAGGGGGCGTGACGTTTTACGGCATGGCAACCTACGGCTTGAATCCGGAAGGGAGCACCGGCCACTTCGCACGCCCACCGCAGCTGTCAAGAGTAGAAAGAGTGCGTCAAGATGCCCCCACACTGTGGCAGCTACATCGGGCCCGACCGCGACAAGAAAGCCCTTACGTGGTGTGTGATGATATTCTGGTGGTACAGCAGAGCCGTTCCCTCTCTACCTCCCAGTCGCTGGAGACACCACCTCCCTGACGAGACGCCTGTAGCACAAGCAGACAGCGGTGGAAATTACAACGCTTTCCACGCGCCATCGACGAAACAGCAAGGAGGCACGGACAAGCTGACAGACGCCTCACTCTATCCTAGGACACGCGGTATCCCGCCGTCATCGCGGGCGGCTGCTCGGCAGATAACGACACCCGCCGCGCGGAGAAGTCGCCCGCCCGCACGTCTATATTGTTGTCTTCCGAGGGGCAATAGCTCCCAGCGCTTCCACCGCCGCCGCCAACAAAGCTCAAGGCATCACCGCCGTCACTACCAAGCGGTCTAGGCCCTTCCGTGCTGCTGTCGCCACCGCCACCATCGTTGACGCAGCCGTCTTCGAACTGAAGCCCGATCGCGGCTGGCCTGGTGCGGCTCGCGTTACCCAGGGCTTGCTGCTGATGATGAGGGTCGACCGTCTGCCCTACACCCACCACCGTCTTCCCCCCACTCGCAGCAGCCGGCCGCGCCTCCGTCGCCGTTGCCGTCCTCTCATTATCGCCGCGCCGTTGCACCTCCCGCCCGTCATTGACCTCCCTGCCTTGCACTGCTGCTGGCGCTGTGGTAATCGCGTCTGCTTCTGTTGGTACTGCTTCTGCTGCTGGTCGTATTGTCGCGGCCCCAACTCCTTTCTTTCCTGCTTCTACGTCCGCTACCGCTGCTGCTGCCGTCGCTCTACGGGCCGCCAGCCACTCGGGCCATTCGTCCGGAGGCAGCTGTTTCCCCTTGACCACACCACCCACCGCGGTCGCCTTCGACGACATCGCTGCGGGCGCGCGAGCGCCTCTTGGCGACGAAGACTTGGAGGAACACCCACAACCTTTACCGCCAGTCCCCCCGTTGGTCCCTCCCGCCCTCGCCCCGGCCGCCTCCGCACGCACACCGCCCCAACCCCCGCAGCCGTCACCGCCCCAGGCACGCACGACTCCCGCCGGCACGACTCCTAGCACGGGGTGGAAAATCAGGTAGTCGTCAGGCTTCGGCCTCCTGTCCCACATCAGGGGGGCCTCTCCATCATCATCTCCCGGCACCACGCCCTGGGTGTCGTTGCCGTCTTCGCCTTCTTCGCTATCCGAAATCAGGCCCGGCAGGTCAGAATCGTCCACGGGGTCCCCCGAGAACACGCTGGCCCTGCCCGAGCAGAAGCTGCCGGCGCGGGAGCGGGCGTGCGCGATGGCCGAGTCGAGGTCTTTCGCCCAGCGCTGACGGCGGCCTCCGCCGAAGAACGGTAGCCAATGCGGCATACTTCCTGAGGGTTCGCGGGTTGCAATGAATGGGCATGTGGGGTTGTTATCAAACAATACACCTCTGGCGGCCCTGCATTTGGAAACGCAGCATCGTGGGCCGTCGGCGAGTAGCGAGGGTGTGTGTGGACAACCTTTGAGGGCTCCAAGCTGTCACGTATCAAAACACAACGGCGTTCTTCGTAGAGGTCAAGCATGGGTTGCGGCCGCCTGAGGAGTGACTCGAGGCTTGAAAATCACGACGGTCATGTTAGCTTGTCCGTACAGCGCACAGACACACTACCGCCGCCGTGCTGTATCCGTGAAAGTAGTACACACGGATGGAAAGTTTAGCCTAGGGTAGACAACACGAGCAAAGGTGATGGCGGCATGTCGACGCTGCTGCCGTGACACCCAGGTCACCTTCGAACATCACAGACCTATACAAATAGAACAGGCAGGTGACTTACCTCGCAGGAATGTGCTCAAACCAAGCGCGCTCAGCAGCAAGATGCACGCGAACGTTCTCCACGAAGGCCACGACTTGCCGCCAACGATGCCGGTTTCCAGCCCCCCCCCCTCCCCGCCCCGGTTCTCACTTCTTCTCCCTCTCCCGCCGGTTCCTGCAGACAACTCTATCTCACGCCGCCCTTGTTCCTTGCTACCACCAGTAGGACCGACGTTCGCGTTGCGATTCCACCGGCCTGGTGTTGGCTCCTCCGCCCTGGCACCCTCATCGCTTGCACCGGTCCTTCTTTCCCCGTGGACCACAGCCGTAGCGCCCGGGTGTTTTACACCGCCGGTATCCCTGTCCCGGGTGTTGATGTTCGCACCCTGTCCCTTCACCAACGGCCCTCTTTGCTCCTGCTGGGGAGGCCGTTCTGCTGCAACGGTAGGCCGGGCTGCAGGCAAGCTACTCTGCTCCGTGGTGGTTGGTGGTCTGGATTGCGGATAGGCAGCCGTGGCGATTGTGGCGTAGCCGTCGACGAGCCTGGACTGCTGTTCTTTTGGTTCGGTGGTTGTGAAATCAGCAAGAGAAGCCGCAGCTGTCGTGGTGAATCGTCCGTCGCGCCTGGGAGGACCTTCTCCGCCAGACAACGCCCGCGCCTCGACATCCGGCACCCGGCCCGCATCCCCTGAGATAGATGGTTCTCCTAGGCATGCCGCCGCTTCTCCGCCGTTGGCGCCGCCGGTGGCACCAGCGGCAGCGATGCAACTACTGGTTCCTTCCTGACTGCCACCCACGCCGCCTCCTCTTACCGCCTCCTCGTTGTTGCCAGCCCCTGTTGCTGGAGGAACCACGCAATCTTCGTCGCCGGCACACCACGATGAATCCTGAAGGATGCCCGGCACCGTGCCGCCTATCGTCTTGACCACGCCGGGATAAGCGTCCGATGGCCTATCCAACAGGTTGCACGACGGCTCCAGCGCGAGAGCGGGTGCGCCCGAAGCCTGCCCGTCCCATAGTTTGCCGTTGCGCCCAACACCCTTGTTGCCATCGCCTCCTCCGTTAGCGCTGAAGGCCCCTTCACTATCTCCGTTGATCAATCTGGCGTTCCGTTCTTCGGCCTCCAGTTCTCCCTCGTCGGCATCGATCCAGCTATTGCGGACCGTGTGCCATCCTTTGCCTCCGATGCCGCCGTCGCCGCCGCCCGGCGGGGTTTCGTGTATAGGCTGAAGCTTTTGCCGTCGGGGGGCATGCGCCACGGCGGCGGCGGCGGCAACGGTGGGGGAGATCGAAAAAGACAGCAGGATGGCATATGCTGCCAAGGAAGCCAAGGAAGCTGCAGGGGAGGCGTTATCCCGTCGTCTTCGTCGTCGTCGGACCATGATTGTCGTCGGATATACCTCCGTTCCCGCTGGTGTGCGTGTTAAAACGCCGGGGACGTCCGCTTGTGCGACCTTGATGTTTAAGACACAAGATGAAAGCGGGGTGAATGCATGCATAACGGTAGAGGGGAGGGATAAGTATCATGGGGCGCCGGACAAGGAACCAAGACCAACGCATCACAGCGGTGAAAGCGTTCCTTGTGCTAGAACATGTCCGGTTATGGGCGGTCGCTACTCCGTGGTTGAAGTGGTGGAGAGACACGTGGGAAGACGCGGCGGCGGAGCAAGACACTTTGCTCCCGACCAGCTGATTTTTGATATCCCTGCTGCTGACACATGTCCAGAAGACAGACCTGGGCCAGAGCACTGCCAACGCAAGATCAACCGAGGCTTAAACAATGAATGCCCGGATTGTCACCTCACGCCACGGTGCTTGCCGCTGGTTGCCTGCTGGTGCCGCACGCCGACTGAAGATTGATCACAGCGGGTACGAAACAATTGAAAATTGGAAAGAAAACGGCGGTGCATCAAGCTACGCCGACAGAGGCTTGAGAAAACACTTACTGTTGTCCGTGCCGCAGCAGCGCCTCACATATATCTCTTCACCGTGTCAAGATATGTGCAAGCGGCAGCAGAGAGCCTCCACGGCAGGCCACGGCACACACACGCCGGCGGGGTGAGCAGGCAGAAAGAGTGGGGTTTCCTCCCTACTTCGGGGAGACGCAACTAAGAACCCTTTTTGATTGCTTCCCCGGTACCACGATATTTATTCATTGGACGGCCCCCCTCCTCCGGCTCGCTCGGCGGGAGACACCACAGCAACACCATTTGACGATAGCCGCAGCCCCTCTCTTCTTTTCGTCGACAGGATTGCCCCAAAGACATCTTGTCCAGATTGCAGGAGATAACGCACAGGAAGTTTGCTGGGTGGTGAACGGAACACCCGGGTAAACGTGAGTCTGCATTCAAGGCTTGATTTTGAATGGGTGGGTGCCGTGCGTCTCACACCGCGGCCTATCGCCCGTGCACACGGCGGCATGAGCGATCCGTATCGGCTGCAAAGGGAGGCTGATGCAGACAGAGATGAAGGAGGAGGAGATTCCCAGTTCGGGTGATGAGGACGATTGCGTAAAGGTCTCACAGAGTTTGGAGCATTGGTTTTTGAGTGCCGGGGAGAAGTTGGTGCTTGCCCTCTCGAGCACACACCGTCACATACATGGCGTCCGTCCCAACCTCATCTACTGAAGGATGCATCTTGTCTGACATGTATTGAAACTGCTGTGTAGGTATAATATTTGTGTTCGTAGCAGGCGTGTGCCATCGTCGTAACCATTTGTTGGACTGCTTCACCTGCTCTATCTACATTTTCTGCAAACACGTCATGGCCAACGCAAATTTCTTCGGCCCCTGTACTGCTGTATTCATATTATCCATAAAATCATGTCCTCAGATACGAAACTGTTTCGAACAGATGCCGTATCTTCTCCGTGTCGCCATGGCGAACGTCTTCAGCCTCCCCATGTACTTTCTTGATCGAGCTGTTGAATGCCATCGAGGTACTGCTCAGGCGTTTAGACATGCTCCCCCCCTGTTGAAAATGTTGCTCCTGTCCTGTGTTGAATCCAATACTCCTTCAAAGACTGCACAACGTTCAAGAGGGGATGAGCAGCAAGCAGAAAGAGAGAGACGGGAGGGGGTGGGGGGGTGTACTGATAGTCGTGCATGCCGTAGTCGTTAGACCATTGACCTCGCATCCCTACAAAGCCGGGACGGAGCACGCCGGGTTCTC